TATATGTATATGCATAACTGAAACACTTTGCTGTACACCTGAAAGTAACATATTATAAATCAACTATACTCCAATAAAATAAAAATATTAAATAAAACTATAACTTCCATCTCACTTCAGAGCAAAAGTCAAAATCTTCCCAATATCCTCCAGGCCTACAAGGTCTGACTGTACCTCTGACCTCATCTCAATTAATCTCTGCTCCAGCCATACTGGCCTTCTCATTTTAACAGGAACATACAGACATGTTCCTACCCTGGTGCATTTATCTGGAGATTCCCTCTGCCTGGAAAGAAGATTCCTCAGACATCCTCGGGGATAATTCCTCACATCCTTCAAATCTTTCCACCAAGATCACCATCCAAGTGAGGCCCACCTTGGCCACCCTAGTAAAATAACCATCTTGTCTGTTCACATACTAGATCACCTTCTTCACTGCATCTTTTCCATTGTATGTGTCCTTTTGTAACAGAATGTGAAAGTGTTAGTCACTCAGTCAAGTTCGACTTTTTGGACCCTATGGGCTGTAGCCTGCCAGTCTCTTCTGTCCATAGCATTCTCCATGCAAGAATAATGGCATGGGTTGCCATTTCCTTCTCCAGGGGATCTTCCTGACCCAGGGATTGCATCTCCTGTGTCTCCTGCATTGGCAGGCAGATTCTTTACCATCTGAAATACCAGGGAAGTAATAACAGAACACTTTCCTTATTTACTACGTTCATTGCATATAGTCTGTCTCTTCTCACCACAATACATGCTCCACAAGGCCAGCAATTTTTCTAACTTCAATGATGTTTCCCAATGTTTTCATTGTGTCATGTATCTGGCACACAACAGGTATCAGCTGAATGAACAGTGAATGTAATGCACCTCCCTATTTCTAGACACAGTATTTTTATTAATGGGACCTCAGGATAAATGTTGTTTTGTGACAAAGTACATCACTACTTCATGGATCACAGCCTTGTCGAATTCCTTTCCAATTTTGAACTATGGATCACATCCCTTCAGAGTTCAAACATTGGGAAAGAAGTACAACAAGACTGTATACTGTCACCTTGCTTATTTAACTCATCATACGCACAGTACATCAAGCAAAATCCTGGGCTGGATGAATCACAAGATTCATCAAGATTGCCGGGAGAAATAACAACCTCAGATGTGCAGATGATGCCACTCTAATGACAGAAAATAAATAGGTACAAAAGAGCCTCCTGATGAGGGTTAAAGAGGAAAGTGAAAAAGTTGGCTTGAAATTCAACATTCAAAAAAGGAGGATCATGACATCCGGTCCCATCACTTCATGGCAAATAGAAGTGGAAAAAGTGGAAGCAGTGACAGATTTTATTTTCTTTGCTGTTGTTGTTCAGTCGATAAGTCATGTCTGAATCTTTGTGATCCCATGGACTGCAGCACACCAGGCTTCCCTGTCCTTCACCATCTCCTGGAGCTTGCTCAACCTCATGTCCATCGAATCAGTGATGCCATATAACCATCTCATTCTCTGTTGTTCCCATCTCCTCCTGCCTTCAATCTTCCCCAGCATCAGGATCTTTTCCAATGAGTTGGCTCTTCGCATTGGGTGGCCAAGGTATTGGAGTTTCAGCTTTAGCATCAGTCCTTCCCATGAGTATTCAGGGTTGATTTCCTTTAGGATTGACTGGTTTGATCTCCTTGCTGTCCAATGGACTCTCAAGAATCTTTTCTGGCATCACAGTTCAAAAGCATCAATTCTTTGGCACTCAGTCTTTTTTATTGTCCAACTCTCACATCTGTATACATGACTACTGGAAAAACCATAGCTTTGGCTACACAAAGCTTTGTCAGCAAAGTGATGTCTCTGCTTTTTAATATGCTGTCTAGGTTTGTCGTAGCTTTTTGTCCAAAACTAAAGGAGCAAGCATCTTTTAATTTCATGGCTGCAGTCACTGTCTGCAGTGATTTCGGAGCCCAAAAAATAAAGTCTGTCACTGTTTCCATTGTTTCCCCATCTATTTGCCATGAAGCAACGGGACAAGATGCCATGGTCTTAGTTTTTTGATTGTTGAGTTTTAAGTCAGTTTTTTCACTCTCCTCTATCACCTTCATCAAGAAGCTCTTTAGTTCCTCTTCACTTTCTGCCATTAGGGTGGTGTCATCTGCATATCTGAGGTTATTGATATTTCTCCCAGCAATCATGATTCCAGCTTGTGCTTCATCCAGCCTGGGATTTCTCATGACATACTCTGCATGGAAGTTAAATAAACAAGGCGACAACACATGGCCTTGACCTACTCCTTTCCCAATTTTGAACCAGTCCATTGCTCCATGTCTGGCTCTAACTATTGCTTCTTGACCTGCATTCAGGTTTCTCAGGAGGCAGGTAAGGTGGTTTGCTATTTCCATCTCTTTTTAAGAATTTTCCACAGTTGGTTTTGATCCACACAGTCAAAGGTTTTAGTGTAGTCACTGAAGCAGAAGTCGATGTTTTTCTGGAATTTCCTTGCTTTCTCCAGGAGCCAACAAATGTTCACAATTTAATCTTTGGCTTCTCTGCCTTTTCTAAATCCAGCTTATATATCTGAAAATTCTCGGTTCACATACTGTTGAAGCCCAGCTTGAAGGATTTTGAGCATTACTTTGCTAGCATGTGAAATGAGCACAAGTGTATGGTAGTCTGAACATTCTTTGGCATTGCCTTTTTTGGGGGATTGGAGTGAAAACTGACCATTTTTTCCCTGGATTCCAAAATTATTGCGGATGGTGACTGCAGCCATGAAATTAAAAGATGACTGCTCCTTGGAAGGATAGCTCTGACAAACCTAGATATTAAAACCTACATATTAAAAAACCTACATATTAAAGCCTACATGTTAAAAACCTACATATTAAAAAAAAGAGACATCACTTTGTGGATAAAGGTCTGTACAGTTAAAGTTAGGGTTTTTCCGGTAGTCATGTATGGATGTCAGAGTTGGGCCATAAAGAGTGAGTGCCTAAGAATTCATGCTTTCGAACTGTGCTGGAGAAGACTCCTGAGAGTCCTTTGGACAGCAAGGAGATAAAAACAGTCAATACTAAAGGAAAACAATCCTGAACATTCACTGAAGCACCAATGCTGAAGGTGAAGCACCAATACTTTGGTCAGCATATTCAAAGAGCCCAGTCATTGGAAAAGACCCTGATCCTGGGAAAGATGGAAGGCAAAAGGAGAAGGGAACAGAGGATGAGATGTTTAGAGAGCATCACTGATTCAATGGACATGAATTCTGAGCAATCTCTTGGAGATGGTTAAGGACAGGGAAGCCTGCCATGCTGCAGTCCATGGGGTTGCAAAAAGTTGGACACGACTTAGCAACTGAGCAACAACAGCAGCAGCACAGTATCTACTCACATTCACATCTGTGTTTCTCTCACAAGTGCTTCTCTCCCCTTCCCCTCAAGGACCATCCTCCACACTACATCACACAATTATATTTTTTCTTTTCAGAAAAAAATAATAATTGACTTATAGGTCCTATTTTCCAACCCAATATAAAGCTAAATTAGATGCTGCTTTATAAATCTATGAGTTTGTATTGGAGCCAGCACTAGGATTACTAGAGCTAAGGGCAGGAAGAGTGGGTAGGCAAGCAGAACAGAATTCGGACAGGATCTAATCTGAGAAATTAAGCTTTCCCTCCTTCCTGCTAATTCCAGAATCTGGATCCTTTGAGAAGGTAGGGGGAAATATGGAAAAAACAATCAATCAAACCCTAGAAGGAGGGCAAGACCTGGATGAACCTGAAAATACACCTCTGGACACCAAAGTCTCGTGCATGGGCAGTCTTGGGCCTTGTGGGACCATGACAGGAAAACAACTCCTCCAGCTGTCAGAGAGGGGGGACACCCAGATGAGAATAAAACACAAACTCAGGCAAAAATCTCTAAAGAAGAAAAGAAACAACAAAGAAACACCCAAAAGATGGGGGCTGAGAACTGGATGAAGGCCTGAACCAAGACTGACCTGGAGACTTCCTCCGAGATCACAGGTCCTGGTGGGACAATGTTTTACTGAAGAGACAAGGACAAAGGACCAGAGAAGATGACCCAGCCTGGGAGTGACCATGTCAAAACTACAACGCACTGAACACTGACTGGGTACTTTACTTGGCTCCTCACAGCTTCCTCTTGCCTCACCTGCAACAGACTGAATATAGCACACACATATTCTGGAAGGTTCTCAGAGTTTCCATTTATTTCCTCTCTCAAATTTTAGGAATCCTCTCCTTTATCATCCCATCAACCCCTTGTGGCACCAATTAAAAAAATTCATATATATAAATTTTATTTTCAACAAGGAAATACGGTATCATTACTCAGTGTAACGTAAAGTTAAGACAGGGATAGAGTCCCACCCAGCACTGCCTCTGCTAGAACAGGACAGTAGATGAGGGAGGAGAACACAGGTCAGGGTGGGGAGTCAGGGCAGTGGGCAGGGGTGGGCAGTCTCCCCACCTCCTCACGTTATGCTAATAGGAGCACAGACACATTCAGATGCAGCTGCAGAAAAGGGAGTCTGGGGATCTGACGTTACAAAGTGGCACCGAGCATCACTCAGTCCCCACAAGGCAGCTGTCTCACACTGTGAAAGAAAAGAATCAGGAACCAGTTCAGGTCAGTCATGTAAGGGCTGACATTCTCAACAGCCCCTCGCCAACATGCTCACATGTCCCACTCAAAGATCCCCACCACCCAGTGTGTCCCCTCTGCCCCAACTCGTCTCCCAACTAGACGCTCCAGGATCTCACCTAAAGGACCCATGAGAGACACATCAGAGACCAGGGGACTGTCACTGCCTGGGGGAGAGCAAAACCAGGACATGGTCAGAATCCACAGGAGAGAAACTAGAGAATGAACTTTGATGAGGGTGAACCCCCGATGGCCTCCCGTCTGCACCCTCACAAGGTGTCTCTGGAATCACACTCCCTCCATACTTACTTGCAACCTGAGCGGAGCTCCCTTCTTTTTCATCTGTGAGAAGAAAACATCATGTGAGAGGCCAGGGAGACAACTGAGTCATGAGATCCTAGCGGAACCCCCTAATCCTGGACCCCAGAAAACTTTCTGGAACTGTGACGAAAAATCCAGGACAAAATCAGGAACATGAAAGAAGGAAATGAGGGAGGACTGGACTAACTGTCCTCCTGGGGACCTGTAGTCAGTGAGGACCTTCCCCTCTGATCTTCAAGTCCTGAAAAACATCTAGTCTCCAAATGGAATTATGAAAGTGAAAATTCTGTCTTTCACAGGTACTTTACAAAAGGGTCAGGGTCAGTGTTAGCATCAGCTCCAGATTCCACAAGTGTGTGGAGGGTACTTTTCAGTAATGAAGCAGGAAAATTTCTACCTGGGCTTGAAACCCCAAGAAAGACAGGAAAACTCAGATCTCTCCCTCCCTTCCCTACCTGAGCGCTTCTTCCTCCACATCACAGCTCCACCCACCACAGCTCCACCTACCAGAAGGAGACCCAGGCTAGTAATGATGCCCATGATGGGGATGGAGGGTTCAGGAGATTTTGTGGAGGAAAATGAAGGGGACCTGACCTCAGGCTTGAGTCCTGACCTTGTAGAAGTTCTCAAGATACCTGCTTTATCTGAGAAGAAGCTCCACCCCATGCCCCTCCTTACTCCATCTCAAGGTAAGGGGCTCCGGAAGCCCCTCGTGCTGCACATGGCATGTGTATTTCTGCTCCTCTCCAGAAGGTACCACCAGGGCCGCCCATTTCTGGAAGGTTCCATCCCCTGAAGGCCTGGTCTCCACAAGCTCCATGTCCTGGGTCTGGTCCTCCCCATCACGCTGCCAGGTCAGTGAGATCTCCTCAGGATAGAAACCCAGGGCCCAGCACCTCAAGGTGACCTCACGGTCAGAGATGGGGTGATGGTTGACGTGTGCCTTCGGAGGGTCTGAGGAAGAAGAATCAGAAAACTCACACTTTGTGTTACCTCCATGGTGCACTGAAGCAGCATCAGGTGACCATCCCAAGAATAAACAAGATAGTGGGTTTGAAAAGAAGCACAAACACCAGACATTAGCCTGGACTCCAGGGTCTGGGAACATCGCCTAGTCCTTGGAAAGTTCTGGAGTCAGGGTGAGAGCCAAGGTAAGAGGCTGCATGTGAAAAGAATACAGAGCTTTTTCTGTATTGTTCCTGACTTGAGTGGAGGCTGAGTGACTCAGAAACGCTGGACTCAGGCCTCCTAAGATGCTCTCAGGGTGAGAACAGGCCTTGAGAGAGAGTCAAGGTTCACAAGATGGCGGCCAGGGTCAAAGGGCAGCGCTGACTAGTTATTTCAGGGATGGTTTCCTGCTTCTTCCCCAAAGACACTGGATTCCTTAATTGTCCTTTTGAGAAATGGGGCCACTGGCAAGTCACCATGTACAGAATATGAAAACCTGGGCAGATTCCTCCCTCTCTTGACAAGAAGTTGGGGTGATGCTCCCACAGGGACCCCAATTTCCTCTCCTCGTGGGAAGACAGCTCCAGCCTGAGGGGAGATCAGAGAGGCCCCACGCCCCTCGAACCTGCGCGCAGCAGCGTGTCCTTCCCGTTCTCCAGGTATCTTCGCAGCGACTTCATGCACCCGCCCTCCAGGTAGTTTCTGTGTTCCTCCGCAAGGCCTGCCGCCTCCCACTTGCGCTTGGTGATCTGAGCCGCTGTGTCCGCCGCGGTCCAGGAGCGCAGGTCCTCGTTCAGAGCGATGTAATCTCTTCCATCGTAGCCGAACTGCTCGAACCCGCGGAGGAGACGCCCGTCCGGCCCCACGTTGCAGCCGTACACCCACTGGAAGGTGTGAGACCCTGACCCGCCCCGACCACCCGCAGGGATTAAACCCAAACTGAAAATGAAACCGCGTCTAGTCCCCGCGAGCACCTCCCCGGTCGGGAGGAGGGGCGGGTCTCACAGTGTTGGGGTGACCCTCGGACCCGGAGACTCGGGGCGATCCCGGGCCGGTCCCTGGGGATGGGGGTCGTGACCTGGACCCGGGTCCACGTCGCTCACCAGCCTCGTTCTGGTTGTAGTAGCCGCGCAGGGTGTTCAGGTTCACTCGGAAAGTCTGTGCGGTGTTCTTAGCCCTCTTCGTCTCCTGATCCCAATACTCGGGCCCCTCCTGCTCCACCCACCGCGCCCGCGGCTCCATCCTCGGATTCGGTGCGTCGCTGTCGAACCACACGAACTGCGTGTCGTCCACGTAGCCGACGATGATGAAGCGGGGCTCCCCAAGGCCGGGCCGGGACACGCTGGTGAGGAAATACCTCAGGGAGTGGGAGCCTGGGGGCGGGAAGGTGTGAGACCCGGTCCGACCTTCTACCGGCGCGGATCCCGGTCCGAGGTGACGGGGCAGGGATGGGAGGGAGGGGCGACGGGCTCGTGAGACAGAAAAGGTCGCAGAAGGACCAGGACTTGGGGGGCTGGGGAGCAAGGAGGGGACAGGACAGGACGGGGGCAGGGGGCAGGTCTGGGAGGAGACGGCCGGGTCGCTCCTTCCCTGGGGGTCCTGCGCCCCGCCCCCCGACTCCAGGGCGGTCCCCTCGCCCCTCCCCGCAGAGGCAGTTCCCTCCCGACCCAGCACTCACCGGCCCGGGTCTCGGTGAGGACCAGGGCGCCCGAGAGCAGCAGGAGGAGGGTTCGCAGCCCCATGGCCAGCCTTCTCCGCCCTTGGGGGAAGCTGAGTCCGGCGGGTCTGTGGAGGCTTTGTAACCGGGAACCACGGGGACACTGATTGGCTGCTAGAAACCGGACACCCAGTGGGAGTGAGAACTGGGGCCGCGTTACGAGTGTCCAGGCAGGAGGGCTCGACACAGGTTGTGAGAGAGAAATGAAACTCGGGAGACTGGGAATCTCCGACACTGACCGACCCTGCCCCAGACACCGTCCTGCACCCTGAGAGCCTCTGGGGACATGGGACTTTGCCCTGATCCCTCCCCTCCTGCACCGAGAGGTCTTTGTCACACTGTCTCCCTGAGTCCTATCGATATTTTCCAAGGATTTTCTAATTTTTCTAAGATATTTTCTAATATTATTTATTAGAAATAATAAAGTTTAAATTCTTTAATTAGTTTAGAATAATGTTAGTAACCCGTGCATCTAATATGAAAAATAAGTTATTTCCCAAAACAAACGTGGTAGTGCGAACAGTGAAGCTTTTTACGTTTTTATATTTTTACTATTCCATTTCTTCCTGTCTCATTAGAAGACCACTGGATTTTCACCTTTGCTTCTACGTTCAATCCGTTATTTTGATTGAAATCTATGAAAATAAAATGGCCCACATATATGTAGGAGTAGTATTTTTAATAAGCTTTTCAGGTAATTATGTAAATTCATCTTTGATACAAATCTAAAACTACAGAACTGGTAGTTTCTTAAAGATTATTTTCAAAGTGGGCCTGAAACTATATCATTGACTATTTACTACAGTAAATAGTCCCTAAGCCTTTTTTCCATATTGAATCTCTTTTACTACTATAAGATTTTTTGTAAGTAATACATTGTTTTGCTAAGTTAAATAAATCTTCCAGTGTCATTCACTCTTTCAAGTGAAGTTTGTATTCCATGCAAGAGAGGGTAGTTCAGCTCATGCAGATTATTTTCCTTGGGTATCTGGTCTTTGGAATGTAGCAGAAGCACTTTACCTGTACTTCCCATGTCATCATAGAAGATACTTTTGGTTCTTTGGAGGAAAAAAAAACCATTTATTAGCATTTTGAGATGTGACCATAAACTTTTGATTTTCCTGAGGGAAGCAGCTCATTTTTGCAATAAGAAATGCAACATAACAATATTTGTGCAAGATACATGTTAAGATTAGAACACCACCTTCTGGATTTAATCTAAACATGAGAAGTTTAACAGACCACTATTCACAGTTTTCTCTTAAATTACTGTAGCACAAGTGAATAATAGCCAATTTTAGAATTATCATAACATTCTATACCTCATTATAACTTGACATACTTTACTTCTGTCCTCTTGCAGAGCATCAGGCCCTTTAGAGCATCATCAGAGAAAGTGGCGACATTCACCAAGCTTGCTCACTTCAAAGAAAGCACACACCTATTTTATGCCATCAGGTTTACCATTCATTGTTCAAGAAAAGCAGCATCATTAAGATAGAGTCATGTAGAACTTTACTTGTCCATGTAATTATTTCCTGTCAATTAAATCTCGTATTTAAGCTTTAGCTCCGTAGGATCTGGTGTTAGTTTACTAAGGATATCAGAGGTGTCCCCAGATCCCTAGAGTGGACAACATACAGTAGGACAATCAAAGAGGCCAAAGTAAGCATGAGAAGTTAGAGCAGATGGAGAGATTTGATCTGGGGAGTACCTGGAACTAGGTGGGTCCTGGCTGAGGGGTGCTATGGGAAGGCTCTCCAGTGTCCCAGGCCTAGCAGGAGAGGTGCCAGCTGATTTATGATGTCCTCCTGTCAGGACAGCTCCAGGAGAGTCCCGACTTCAAATACATTCTCAAATCTGTCAGGTCCTGATCCCAAATGTTTTCATTCAGCAGTATTGGCATGTCTGCTTTGCCCAGTGCTGGGCTGGGGGCCTGTCATACACTCAAAACCAAGATGTAGACTCTACTCTCACATGGCTGAGCACCAGGTTATAATGGAATACAGTGTAGGCTGTTGTTGGCAGAGAAAAACCAGTAACTAAACTCATCACCTCATCTCTCTCTCACAATTATTACAACCATTGCTCATTATTCTTACCCTGTTGTTTCTTAGAATATATAGGATTTTAGCAAAGTTCCTCCAGGAAGGCAGACTTTGTGCTTTGGGGACAGGAGATAGTGTGGACCCAACCTTGGCTCTGCTCAGCAGATCTCCCTCTCTGGATGACTTTACTGAGATCTACTGTCCACCTTCACATGGTCTCCCAGGGTGTCAGGGACATTCCCAATTGTCTTCTGAGCAGACCACTTGGTCCCCAAAAACTCATATCACAAAGCAGGGGAAACATGATTGAAAAACATCTCTAGTACATTACGTAGACTGTCAAAAGCTGTTTTACACAGATAGATGTTTATAGATGATAGAGACAGGGCAGGACAGAGGTGGGCACAGATGAGCGACTGAACACATAATTTTACATATCTGTGTGTCACAGAGACAACTTATATCAGGGGCACATCTTACGTTTGTTACCTGTAGTGGACTTTCAATAGCTTCCAAGTGAGATTAAAGAAGAAAAGCAAATCGATGTACCTTAAAGAAATCCTCTATGTTTATAAAACAAGTTCTGACTAAGCCTAATTTGGAGAGGACAACTAGAGAACGGGGCGGTGTGTTCCTTGTAAGCAGTAACAACCGCCCTCTAGTGGTAAAGTGAGGAATGGCATGAGTGCTGCAGGGCTCCTTGACAAATATGGAAGCCCCCTTTCCAACTTGCCAGCTTCACAGTCCTGCTGTTAGAGCAAACCAGGTTTGTAAGATTCGGTGTTCGCGGGTGCCTTCTAGAGGAAGTCCTTGTCTTGACTAAGACACAAGAGGCAACTTTCCAAGTGCAGTGTTTCAGAGAGTGTTGACTGAGCCCCTGAGTCAGGCAGTGGGGTCCACAGGAGAGACCAGAGAGGAAGTCTCTGCCTCACTGGTCACGCAGAGAGAGAGAGGGTGGGAATGCGCTGGGTTCACTTGTCTACACCACAGCTCTGTGTATCTGTTGGGAAGAAGATCGTCTATCCAAGCAAAGCAGTATATGGCATTTTTCTGTTTATATTTACAAGAAAATACTTTAGAAAATAGAGAACTATATCACTCAACATATCTGTATGATTTCATCTGGATTTATATAGCTTTCTAAAAAATTGGATTACCTTATCTTACTCGACTCTTTTTCATTTAATATGAGTAATTGTTCCAACCATTCATAACTTTAGAGTGTACAAATTTAATGAATTCAATATGATACTATTTCTTATGACACCTTGTACTTAAAGGCCCTGCTTCCAAGCTCTTGTTCCAGCTTCCCCCACTGGTATCCTGTTCTTTTCTGAAAGTGGAGTCCAAATCTTATCATCTCCAGGCACCTTCCAATCTAGAATCACTCTATGAACTTCCAGAAGATGTTCTCTTTATCCTTTTCTCCTGGGATGGCAGGCACTTCCCACCGTGTCTTATCTCCTTCTGTGGATTCAGAGCTTCTCTCTGACCAAGATGCTGCTCAATCAATTCTCAGGCCATTCTTTGCACAGAGCTTGGTGTCTGGTAAACAGTCACTAAACATTTGAAAGCTAAATAAATTGAAATGAATACTCACTGTTGCTGACGACTTTAATTGTTCTGCCCTCTTGGGGACACGTGGGGAAGACTTCCCAGCCTCCTTTGTGGTCCCAGGACCATGTCGCTGTCAGTAGAACAGGAGAGGACCTGGTGTGTGTCCTTTCAGACCTGGCGCATGACGACCTCTCACATGCATTTCTCCACATTCTCGCTCCTTCTGCTGAAGGACGCTGGTGGGGCTGAGGTCTAAGCAGCTGGGAATCCTGAGAAGCAGGCGGGGCTCAGAGGGCTCATGCTGGTGCTAGGCACCAGTTTGGGGGTGGACTCCAGGTATCCTCTGGTGAGTGTCTCTAGACTATTTGAAGAGTGATGCTTTCATCTTTATCTCTGCCCTGCTTCTCCGCCGTGAGTATCACATTTTGGGGACCATCTCCGTCTCCACCTTCCCTTTCCTCAGGATGAGGGGCTGCCAGCACCTCAGTGGCTACAGGAGATATTTTTACAATGTGGATTTGAAGTACTTCCCTGGGGTCCAGTGGCTAAGACTCTGAGCTCCCAAGGCAGCGGGCCAGAGTTCGAACCTTGGTTGGAGAACTAGATCTCACACGTTGCAACTAAAGATCGCATATGCCAACTGAAGACCCCATATTCTGAAGCTAAAGAACCCACATCCCACAACTAAGACGTGGCACAGCCTAAATAAAAAAATTACTGCTTTTTCAAACTGGTGCCTTGGGAAATCGAGAAACATCAATAAAGTCAAGTACATTAAAAAAGGAATAACTTTTGTAAAAATGTCGATGTAAAAATAAGAATTTTAATTTATTTATTAATATTTATAAAATTTATTTTACTGAATTATAGTTGTTTTTCAATATAGTATTAATTTGTGCTATACAGCATAGTGATTCAGTTATATATGTATATATATACACATATTCTTTTTCATATTCTTTTCTGTTATTATTTATGAACAAAAAATAAGAATTTTTAATGTGTCAATCAAGACATTTTGAAGCAAAGTTTTTTTCCCTGCAAGTAAGTTGTGGTGAAAATAATTACTGTTGCAGTTTGCTACCATGGTCTCCATTATTGTGAAGTTTTACCTCAAAGTAAATGTCAACATAGTGAAAAGTCACATAATATCTTAGTAATACTATGTAAGTAGGTTGCACCCCATGGATCTCATAAAAGGGTCTCGGTGACATCAAGGATTCCACAGACCACACCGAGAACCACTCTCTTGAATAAATCAGGGAATCTCCCAGCTGATCCCTGCTTTTGCCTCCTCTTCATTTCAGGAGATCCTTCTCCTTGAACTGGACTTCCTGCCTCCACAAACTCAGCTGAGGGCCTTGCCCCTTGGCTGCTCTGGAAGAGAACTCACCCTCTAGAAAGCAATGCCACAGAGTGTCCTCAGTCTGGGAAAGCTGTGGCGGGAGACAGGTATTTCCCCTTTGGGATTGGGACAGTTTGTGCCTGA